CATGATGATGATGATGATGATGATGATGATGATATTAATAATAATAATAATAATTTAATTGCATTTAATGTAGCGCACATCCACTCTCTATAGTACGTTCCATGCGCTCTTTAATTGTTACAGAGGACCGAACATACTTCTATCACGTTACTAACAGTAGTGAACTTGTGTTCAAATAAATGCAAATAGGTTATAAACATCAAACATGCAACAGAATCACAGCATTATTCAGTAACTTTTCGAGGGCCACTGTTGCACCTTATGACAACAGTATACTGTGCTGTAGAGGCAAAATAAAGACAAACAAACACATTCATGGAAAGACCTAATTGCAACTTACATTGAGAACGTAAGATCTGACCATGAAATAATACTATCCAAGCAGAGACCCGGGAAGATGGAGGCTTGTTGTGGCAAGACGAGGGGCACCAACGGCCATTGTGACTGATGCCAGGTGACAGGGGACTATTGCGTGGCAAGTTCTCTAGCAGCACACTCAACGTAACTTGGACTTTTCAAATTATACAAGAGGAGCATAAGGCGAGACCAGTCACTGAAAAAAAATAATTTAATTCCTCATTAGCGTTTAGTTTGAGGATCTCTTTTGCAAAAAACAGTCTCTTTAGCATTTAATTTGAGGATCTCTTTCGCTCTGACTGGGGACTTGTTGTTTTTTTTTAGGTTTTTTTTTTTTTTTTTTAGTAAAGAGAAACACATTGACACACAAATGGTCATTCAGTAATGGGTACTGGGTACACGTAAAGCAGATAGACAGAAACAATAGAGTGAAAATAAAGAAGTAAACTGTAAGACCAACCAGTGGCGCCCTCCAACCACCTGCAAAGTGGACTGGAAGTCACAATTAAACCAACAAATGAATAATCCTCTCCAAAACTCAAAACAAGAGGAGCAACTGAAAAAAATATGTTTCTTGATTAGTGGGCGGGCTGTATACAGCCGTGTCGTACAAAGTCAGTTATCATCTGGAAAGCTCTTTGAGGCTGGTCGTGTGGCACCTGGTGTCCAGCACCGTGGACAACCACCCGACAAAACTGACCGGTCAGGGAGAAATAACCGCACAGGTCCAATGAGCTTGACATCCAGATGGACCTGGTGGCGTTCAGGTATTCTTCCCTCAGACTCCAGGGAGTGGCCTGGAGTCCTGCTTCCACCATGGGCGAGTTGATGATGACGTCGTAATCTCCAGTGAATATCAGCACTTTGTAGTGGTCCAATAGGTCTGCCATTTGCGGTATTGTACTCACGACCAAATCCCCGCCAAATTTTTCGTAGACGGTGTATGATTGTGCATTATACGTCTGATTCCCCACGTGCAAAGCTTTGCGGACCTCTTGTATTTTCATCAGGTCGGAAAGCAAGCCGTAGCCCGCACGCTGCTGCGTGACGAAGTTGTCTTTTGTTTGAAGACCCACATGAACCCAAAATAGACTCATCATCGTTGCAAGTGATTCCTTTTCAGGATTATTCCCTTCTCGCACCTTCTCGTAGACTTTTGCGATGTCTCGTTTACGTTCCACTACAGTCGCATGGCTAACAAAGCCCATTGCGAAAGCGAAATCATAGAATGCCAAGTTCTCCTCCTCAGGAGCAAAGTAAGGGCCTCCGAGATAAATCCCTGCCAACGGTAAGTGGGTGTTACCATCTCTATTCCCGACGTGGATTTTATGAGCCAAGGCAGGCACGTATTTCCCGGCATACGACTGGCCTCCGATGTACAGTTCTCTATTATGATAGTCGGGAAACAGGCTGTAAAACTGCAGCATAACTGAGTAGAGATCTTCTGAATAGCCTTCCTGATTCAACCTCAGCCCCATATCCCCGCTCTCAGTGTAGCTAAACCCCACTTGTACTGGGTTGTCAATGTACAGCATCGAGAACGGCCCCACCCAGGAAAATTGGCGAGGTTCTGATTGTATAAAGCCTTCCCTCGCCATGTCCATATCGACTTCCACCGGGCCATTTTCCCAAAATAAACCTAACATGGAGGATATTCCCGGTCCGCCGTTGAGCCAGACGAGTAAAGGCGCGTCCTCTTGCTCCATAGACGGGAAAAACCAGAAGAACAGGTGGTTCCCCAAAGTTTTGTTGGCCGTTAGGAAGCCGGCGTGGCTGGTGCCGTTGTACAGGGCGGGCATCACCACACGGCTCAGGTTCTGTGCCTTGTCCACGTCACCGGCCTCCAGGATCGGGGTGAGCATCAGGGGATCGCCACACGCCCACACACTCGCTCCGGTACACAGAAGTAGGAGGCCGCTTCCCAACAGGACTTCCATGGCTTCTGGAGGGGGAAAACACGAAAATACATCCCATTTTACATTATTATTTAATTTATTACTTTCATGGTTAAAGATCCTATTTTGTTTCCAGTTTATAGTTTAGTTATTACATGAGATGAGCTAAATTATTACATGAGGTGTGTTTAATTATTACATGAGATGTGTTCCCTAACTGCGCTCCCAGCCCATATACACGAAAATACATCCCATGTTACATTATTATTTAATTTATTACTTTCATGGTTAAAGATCCTTTTTTGTTTCCTGTTCATAGTTTAATTATTACATGAGATGTGTTCCCAGCCTACATGCACGCATTGTACTATTTATTTTAACCTGAAAATTAATGTTGTCTGTGATGTTTTGGTTTTGGTGAAGCTTAGCAAGTCATAGAAGAAGGGGTTTGAAGACAGAACCTCTGCGTTTTTTCGAAGTTGACGAATCACTAAGGCCCTTTAAAGAGCCTTTTATAATTTCTCTGAAATCGATCAGTAAAGCGAAATCATATCGAGGTATCTCTCAAGCACGAAATAATTGCTTTAAGCTGAATAATAATATTATGTATGAATATGTTGTATTTAATAAGTCGAACGTTTTTTCCTGTCTTGGTTAATAATCCTCTCCAAGGCTCTGTGTATGCTTTAACTTTGCAAAACGCAGACCTCATCAATACGTATATTAAAAGACTTTTCCTCGCTTCTGAATTTGTCCTAAGAAATGGTGGAAGACTCCTTAAAATGTTGGTAGAAGACAATTATTATTACAGAGGGAATGGTACGTTACATATTATAACCTGATATAACTTTTCGAAAGGGCCTTTGTGATATCTAGTTGTGAAGCAAAATGATGACTGATAATAATAATACAGGGATGATAGCCACTGTTTGGTTTTAGCGGTTGGAGCCTGAAATCTAGCTTCGCGTTCTTTTCACTTCTAGAGCATCAATTTTTTCAAATATAACGTCAATAACTATTGGACGACTATGTGCCACATATTCGCGTTACGACGAACCCAGCAAAATGTCATCAGGTATTTTCAAATAAACAGAATAATTTAGTCATGGTACCTTTCTGCCTCTATGTTCTATCAAGGAGAAGCACATAGACATAAACATGGAATAGAGCGCTGGAAAAAACAAGCGGTACAGTAAACAAATTAATAGTAAGTTTTACGGCTTATCGTCAGCCAGCTCAGGTTAAGGTGGATTTTAAAGGGGGGGGGGGGGTTGGGGGAGTTGGGGGGGGGGGGAGTTGGTAAGTCTTTTACGGCGCTCACAACTGCGTAATGTCGTATGAGCGCACGGGACACAGTAAATATTTTCCGTTTCGTAGGAATTAATTTTGAATTTTGCCAGGTGGCGGCTGAAGCCCGATTTTATCGATTTTGGATCACCAATTGATTTTTAACGTGTTCAACTTGCACCTTAGACGTCTGAGATTTTTCGCCTTTATCCGAGAAGGCTTACCTACCCTACGATCTGGGGTGAGGCAGAAAGACAGCAGTAGGAAAGAGTCAAGGAGCAGCAGCAAGAGGAGGGGCAAAAGGGGGGGGGGGGAGGTGAGAGTGGGGGCAGGAAGGGGATTCGAAATCAGACAACAGAACATGAATAGAGAGCAAGAAAGGAGACAAAAGGAGAACATTTAGGTGGAGAATATTTTCCGCCGCTGTCGTGTTTCGAACCCGGGATCTATTGAATGAGAGGCAAACACTGTAACCTCTGGACCACGAGAGCCCCCTTGGTTCAGGGATACTAAGCTAAACATTTTGTTGTTGGCTTTTCTTTTTTTAGATAGCAGTTTCCTATTCTGTGCTGTCATTTACTTAAAGTCGCCGGGTAATGTTTTGTCAACATTCGTATCATAAATGTTAAAAGAAACAAGGAAAACTACATATTCTAAGACGAACTGTTAAAAGAATGAAACTTTGTTTTCTCTCCCTGAAAAGTTTAACTTTCAGGTTTAAAACTATGGAAGGGGGGGGGAGTCGTGAAAAAGAGGAGGAGGAAAGCGGTATCCCTAGACTAATCAAACAAACAAAAAATCTTTTGTGCTTTTTTCTGTTTGTAGGAAGTTGAGGTGTGACTAGAAGCCAGAACCCGTAATATAATATTGCTCCATCTATGAACCTTAGGTAACAAAATAAACGGGTCGATTTAATATTTAATTATTCACTTTTGAAAGCATAATTCAACAAACGACGAAAAATAAAGATTGCATCTCAGCAGAACAGCTACTAGATAAGAACCGTTTTCTATCTTTGATTTAACTCATTACTGATTGATAAAGGTTTCAGCCTCGAATGTTTTAATTTCTTTATTCCTTAATTCATACTAATGACAATCACATGAGCTAACTTTAATCCTTTCTCTGTCATTTGTTGTTCTGGAATTGAGGACCTCAAAACGTAATTCCACACAAAACGAAGTAATACAAATAAATGCACTAACGTGTATAGTACTTTACGGTATTTTGAAAACTGAATGCTTCGTCCTTCAGAGGTCACATAATATCACAATTTAATAGGAACAATTTTCTGACAGCGCCATTGTCTCTTTTTCAAAATAGGAACTGCTGCTCAAAGCCATGAAGAGAACTGTAGCTCCCGCGTGATTTACAAGAACAGGCTACTTTATACACCTTTTGTGGGAGCTTGGGTTCACTTCTCTGAAAGGTGTTGCAGCGAAGATATCTGTGAGAGTTAAAATGGTTAATCAAAATGTGTTTCTGAGAGTGTTTTCCGTCTAAACAACGCCTTCTTACTCCAGGTAAACAATTCCTACATAGTCTGATGCATCACACGGGAAATGATCTAAAGAGGACCCGAAAAAGGACATTTCAATGGCAAAACAGCACCGGGTAGAAGATATTACAAAAAACGTTCATTTAGTGTCGAACACGTTTACTACAAAATAGGGTGCTTTTGCAGCAATTCAGCTTGAAATGTAATTCTGTTTGTCAACGGGAACGTTGGATTTTGAAAATGAAACATAGAAAACAGCTTCTGGATATGTGAATAAAAACTTTGTAAACAAACCATCCAAGAGACTAACCTTGATCGTGAAAAGATAGGAAGACTCACTTAGTATTTCGTATTTTCCCAAGCCTGTTCCGAATCTTCACTCCACTTGAGCTGTTAGCCAGGCTCTGCTTGCATTAAGATCGGCCTTTAGAGGTAACCAGGAGAGAGACGGGGGAATCGTTTATGGCGATGAGACGGATTTATCGGACTCACTGCCTGGATGTTTGACCGAGTGAAAAGCAATAACGGCTTAACGACTTACAGATGCGTAGAGGTCGTACGGCAGAGCAGGGCTGAGTGCAGAAAATTCCCTCACTCACAGATTCTGGAGTGGATCACCGAGCTTTATACCGCGCAACCACCTCCACCACCACCTCACGATTTTTTAAATATAATGGGGTAATTGTTTAATCAGACCAATCAAACCAGAACGTTCACATAGCGAAAACCCGCTGTGGACTGAACGGTTTACCTCAAACATTTACAAATAAGACGCAATTTCAATTGGAAAAAAAGATGGCGTTTTCGGTGTACTGAATGAAAAGCTAATTTGCAAAATGGCATGAACATTTAGCGAGAATTAAAGCTAGAAAGCAAATTTGATTAAATCACTCCTAATCACGCGAGCTGGACAACAGCAATTACCAAAAGGACTGGTTTGCTTCTAGCCAGACAAATGTCAGTCGAACCTGCTCTAACAGCCACCTTTATTAGACAATCATCTGCAAATTGCCACTTTCCTTCTCCCCCTGTCCCCCCCCCTCCCCCGCCGTTTTTGCCAAGTTTTCTCCCCGACAACGGTTAAATTGACGCTTGTAAATATCCCCACTTTGGTTAGTTAACAAACATACGTAGTCGGCACAAGATGTAGAAGTGTTTTCCACGCAGAATTTTTATTCAGCTATTTAACATCTAACCTCTATGGGGCTTAGCATAACTTTCACAATAACTTTGACGCTGATAACAAATTTGAAGTCAAATACGCATTCAAACTTAAAGAATGAGAATCTTTTTACCCAACTACATCTTTCCACCAGGTCCACTGGAAAAAATATTTGGCACAGCCTAAATTTATTGACCCCGTCCGACTCCTTGCGCTTGGCCTCCTGAAATCGGCCACACACGCAGCGGTTTTTGACGGTTTTCGAGTTCCGGGGCTAGACCACTGCCTGTGCGGGGATTTTAACTAGTAAAACTATTAACTCTTTAAAGACGTAACAGACACACATGTCCGACCATCAGCAGACTAAAGGCAAATATTACTGCATATTTCGAACCTTCATACACAAATAAGCAACACAAATTTGCATATTTTGTTGTATACAATGTGTTACCTGCCTTTCTATGTTTTAGATAATGAAAACAGAATTTGAAATGATTGACATGAATAACGAAGTACCCCAAACAAGCGTGTCCTCAGTGAGTTCAATCATAATACATTTGTATTTGTCTGGCTAGGACGCAACTGCTTATGTTTTGATTCGTGTTCCCTGAGGCGTGAAGTGTCTGGTCCAAGTGGTGGGAAAACGCAACGGAATTTCCACCACCTATAATGATTTACTGAAAATGAACATCATCAACTCTCATAGGTTCGTGTGTTTATATGTAACTGACTCTAAAAAGCACCGTGCGCCAATATTATATCTCCACCTTCCTGTGCATCACATGATCATAAGTCGATAAACCTTTGCACAAAAGGAGTTGAAACAGCACAAGACCAAGACCTCTCTGACGGCAAGACCCCCACTGTGGGTTTTTGTGGGTCTGTTGTTTTACCATGGTGGCGCACTATGTGGTTTTAAAGAATAAGAATGGAGAAAAGTATTACCAATTTGACAACAAAAATGTGTGACTTTAATGTTTTGTACATTATTAATTGGGCGGGTTTAAAAAAAATAAATAAACGCAAAGGCATTTTCTGTCTACACGCACTGGCAAATATGCCGCTACAACTAGGCATTATAACTACGTATTATTATCATTATTATGAAGGTAATGTTGACGAACAATGGTGGGTCGTGTGTTAGCCCAGTTGATATCACGCCGGACGACGGAGCAGATTACCCTGGTTCAAATTCTCAACGAGGTAGTCTTTGTAAGTTGTTTCATAAGGCTACACACCCATTTGGTTTGGTGCTATCGGAAACTGACGTTAAATTCAAAGGTTGTCCCCTCTTAAATACCGCTACGATGTTGAAAGGTTTTTTTTAGCCTATACAATTTCGCAGATTTTCCAACACTGGTGTTATAAGGATTATAACAATTCAGTAAGTGTTGAAAACAGGAAGACATTAGGCAGAGACATGGATGCATGATAGTAAATTGGAAACGCCATAGGGCCGTATAGACCTCCTCACAATAGTGAAAAGACACACACTGAAGAAGTACGAGCACACCCCACTTTCATTTAGACCGGCCAAGACTACCCTACAAGGAACAGCACAAGGAGGAAGGCGACGGGGCAGCGAGAGGGAAGGCAACATTTTAAATTGGCTGTGACTGGAACATCTTACTACGGGAAGCAGAAAGCTGAGAAGAGTAGAGGAAGCTGGTTGCAAAATCTGCTGTGTGGTGTCCTAAAAGTCAGCCAGACTATAGGATAGGGGAAGATGAGGGAAATGAAGTATATCTCCATCAGTAAAATGGAGATCAGCCGGGTGTGAAGGGACGCCCACAATTTTTCCCAGTGTTCTAAGGCCTTCTGGTTTGATAATGATCTATATTGTACGCACAGAGAGCTTGTTGGGGAGCGGGTTGTTCCGATAATCAGATGTATTATTACAGTTAAATAGAGCATCTGAGCAGAAACACGGAAACACGTCTGTAGGTCTGATAGAAAGAGGCAAGCAGATTCAATGTCGCAGTACGAAAATGGAACACGTTTCGCTACAGCTCTCAGATACGAACTCCTCAATTTGGGAATCAAACGTACGTTTGCTGCGAGCAAAGAAGGAATGCTTGACCGTTATACATGTACCCCTAGCCGGTTTGGGCAATATGGGAATTATGCAGCCAGTAGAACAATCTCTTCTCAGAAAGGGCTGGTGAGTTTTTGAGACACAAGAGCGCCTACGAAAGCTACAATAACTGGAAACATGTTTCACGCCCCCCCCCCCCGCCCCCTCACACAATACCCCTTTTTGCTTGAAGTAGTAGCTTTGATTTAAAATGAGATATGGAACTCAAGTCTCTAGTATACTACCGAGGTAAGTCTTTCCACATCAGAGGACCGCAATAAGAAAGGTAACGCTGTCCGTAAGTTTCTAACCAAGACTTTGAGTGAGTAAACAATGATCTTCTGGTAGGAAAGATCTACACCTAGCCTTCTCGGACAAGGGCGAAAAATTTCGGAGGGCCCGTGTGCAAGTTGCGCACGTTAAAGATCTCTTGGTGGTCTAAAGTCGATATGAGTAGGCTTCGGCCGCCACCCGGGCAAAATTCGAAATTTCCTATCAACTGAAAATATTAGGTGTGTCCCGCGCGCTCATATGACCTTATGCAGTTGCAAGCGCCGTAAAACACTTTACAAAAACAAACAAACAATGATCAGACCGACCTAGATTCTATCCAGCCAGTTGCCGTCCCAACCAAAGTGTCGATTAGCCTCGAGGTTCCGGAACCAACGGGAGCAGTGCTGACCAACCTGGTATCGCGCCAACTAGTGAGTAATTTGGTAATTTTGATAGGCGGTGGGGATCGCCCGACAAGTGGTAGTAATGCCCTGCTTTGGAATAACAGGTCATGTAGGTGGCCGGTACGAAAATTGTGATCACTTCATGGTGGCAAATATGGGCGCTGGCTATGAACTCAAAGATTACGAGCTCTGGATTGGAGGAACAACCTGATTCGTTCATACTAATAAGCAATACTGTTTAATAAAAGATTTTAAAAAGTGTGGGGGGGGGGAGAGGGGAGAAAGACGGATAGACAGACTGAAGCAGAGAAAGTCTTAGTGTCGACTGGTTTCGAAAATGTAACATGGGCATCTCAAACCTGTACGATCTCCCTCCACGTCAAAGTCGACAGGAATCACAGAGTCGCTAATAAAAAAAACAAAAAGACTTTTACACCATCCGCTGTAGCACGTGTTTCTATGAAAACGAAAACATAAGCAAGGCCGATGGAATTACCGCAAAGTTTCTATTGAAGAAAATATGAGAATCCTCTCCTGTAGATGAATATCTCAGTACGTCCGTCCTAGTTAGCATTGCACCACAACAAGGCGAAAGGAACACAGGCAGAATCTAGTTCAGGTTCCAGTCTTAGACAACGTCAGGAATTCGAGCAAATTTTTTTAAACCTCTAATACTTTTTCTTTGTATCTGCAAAGCAGCCAACAAACGATCGTGTCTGATGTGAGAAACTGCTACCTTTACTCCAGTAAACACTCTCTATCTTTCTGTCTGTCTATCTTTCTGTCTGTCTATCTTTCTGTCTGTCTATCTCTCAGTTTGTCTGTCGCTAACTCTATGGTTCTCCCTCTTCCTAAGTTTCAATTCTTTGCGTAATTGTTTGTGTGTTCATACATGTGTTTGCGTTTGTTTGTATGGGTGTGAGTGTTTGTATGTGCACGTGAGCATGTATGTGTTTGTGTTTGTATGAGTGTGTTTCTGTGTTTGCGTATGTGAGTGTGTGTATATGTGTGTGTGTATGTGTGTGTGTGTGTGTGTGAGAGAGAGAGAGAGAGAGAAAGAAAGAGAGAGAGAGAGAGAGAGAGAGAGAGAGAGAGAGAGAGCGCTAGATGAAAAATATACGGCTGCAATAGTAATATTATTTTTTCTCTTCCAACGTAACACCTTTTTAATCTTATCTTTGGGAATAAAACGCTTCGCTTAGAAACCACAAAAACCCTCTCACACAAGCGAGTTGGCGAACCTTCGTCACATCTTATGCGCGAGAAATTTTCGTCGGGGAAGGCGGGGGGA